GGGTGCTCGCTCACCCCGCGGTTGCCGGGCTGCCCCCAGTACTGCTGCTGCCCGTACACGCGGTTGTCGTAGCCCCGGCGCTGGCCCCCGACTGCCGGGAAAAAACGGGAGCAGCCGGATCAGAGCCGGGATTTGGGAAGCCCCGAACCCCCGGGCCCTCCCCACGGCCCCGGATCCCCACATCCGGCCCCTCCTTGTGTCCTGGGATCCCCGTATCCATCCCCTCCCCGTATTCCTGCATCCCGTTTGCCCCTCCCCGTATCCTCGGATCCCTGTATCCCATTCTCCCTTCACCGTATCCCCATATCCCGTTTTTCCCTCCCTGTATCCCCATATCCCCCCTCACTGTATCCCTGTATCCCGTTTTTCCCCCCTCACTGTATCCCTGTATCCCTTCCCCGTATCCCTGTGTCCCTGTATCCCGTTATCCCTGTATCCCTGTACCCCCTCCCTGTATCCCGTTATCCCTGTTTCCCCTCCCCGTATCCCTATATCCCTGTACCCCCTCCCTGTATCCCTGTATCCTCTCCCCGTATCCCTGTCCCCACCCCCGTATCCCTGTATCCCTGTCCCCCCTCTCCGTATCCCTGTATCCCGTTTTTCCCCCTCACCGTATCCCTGTATCCCGTTATCCCTGTATCCCAGTATCCCTGTCCCCCCTCACCGTATCCCTGTATCCCTTCCCTGTATCCTGTTATCCCTGTCTCCCATTTTTCCCCCTCCCCGTATCCCTGTATCCCGTTATCCCTGTCTCCCGTTTTTCCCCCTCCCCATGTCCCTGTATCCCGTTATCCCTGTATCCCTGTCCCCCCTCACCATATCCCTGTATCCCGTTATCCCTGTATCCCTGTTCCCCCTCCCCGTATCCCTGTATCCCGTTATCCCTGTCCCCCCTCACCGTATCCCGTTATCCCTGTATCCCGTTTTTCCCCCTCCCCGTATCCCTGTATCCCATTATCCCTGTATCCCTGTCCCCCCTCCCCGTATCCCCGTATCCCGTTATCCCTGTATCCCGTTTTTCCCCCTCACCGTATCCCTGTATCCCTGTCTCCTGTTTTTCCCCCTCACCGTATCCCTGTATCCCTGTCCCCCCTCCCCGTATCCCTGTATCCCGTTATCCCTGTCTCCCTGTCCCCCCTCACCGTATCCCTGGCCGCGGTTGCGGTTCTGCCGGTTGCGCTTGTTGCGGTTGTTGCGCCGGTTCGCCCGTTTCTCGGAGGGCGGGAGCAGCTTCCGGGCCTCCTCCTTGTACCGGGACACCAAGGGCTGCGCCTCCTCCTTGCCCAGCTCCCCGTAAACCACCTCGTCCAGGTAATCGTTCTTTTCCGGCAGGGAATAGTTCGCTGCGGCGGGAACGACGGGAATTCCCTCCGTCAGTCCCGGCCTTTCGCCCCCGGCCCCCAGAACGACGGGAAAACTCCAGGTTTTCCTCTCCCCCGCCTCGTTTCCCACCCGTTCCCACCTTTCATTTCCAGCATCACCGACTCGGGCACGTCCTCCCCTTCCGCCTCCTTCCGCAGCTCCAGCCGCTTTTTCCAGTCCTCCTCCGTCGGGACGATCACCACGACTTTCCTGGAGAAGCCCTTGAAGGCCAAGAGCTTCCGGCGCTGCCCCGAGTTGTACACGTTGCACTGGGAAGGGAGAACGGCGGGAATTCGGGATCGGGAGGAGGCGGAGGAGGCGATCCCGAGCTCCCGGAGGGGGGAAGGATTTCCCGGGATACCTGGTCGAGGATGAAGTTCCGCTTGGAGCGGGGAGCGATCTGGACCAGCTTGCTAAGGCACTGGGCTGCCTGCTGAGTCAGCAGGTCTCTGCTCTTGGCATCCAGCTCTTCCACGTCCGGACCCCTCGTCTGGAAAACCGTCGGAAAAGCGGGAATGAGCAGGAGGAGCCTCCGCGCCCTCAAGCAGCTAAAAAATCCCCTCTAAACCTCCCTCAAAGTCCCCCCAAACTGCCCCCAATTCCCGCAAATCCCCCTTAACCTCCCTCAGTGACTCCCAGATTTCCAATTCCCTCCTCAAATTCCTCAAATCTCCTCTGAACTTCCCTCAAACTCCCCCAAATTCCCAATTCCCGCCTCAAAACTCTCCAAATTCCCTCTAAACTTCCCTCAACCCCCCCCAAATTCCCTCTGAACCTCCCCCAACCCCCCCCCCTCAATCCCTGTTTCCCCTCCCGACTCCATCGTGGGCGTTCCCGGAATTCCCGGTGCTCACCCGCAGCTGGTGCAGGACGGCCTCTGTTCCCAGGATGTTGTAGCGCTTCTCCCGGTTTTCCTGGGAATGTTTCTGAGCCCACTGGGTCTTCCCGGAGCCCGGCAGCCCCACCATGAGCAGCACCTGGATAC